CTGCTCCCTGTTGCATGATGCAGCAGGGCCAGCGTGTGCAGGGTTATCTGTGGCTGGGGCAAAGCAGCTCTTTGTCCTGCTCTGCAGGGAGCGTGGATTTTGGACCAGACGTCACCTCCTCTGAAAAGAGCATTAAGGTGCTGCTCAATGCCCAGGACAAGGTGAGCGTCTGTCCTTTATGTGCCTCAAGGGAAGCGGGTCCCCCCTGCTCAGACTGACCTGGGAGCAGCTGGGTGTTGCTGGGCCTCAGAGCACAGCTTAGGATGGGTCAGGGTACAGAGACTGGAGAAGCGTGGTTTGTAGGCACCTCTGGGCTCCTGTCACCAGCAGGCTCCCTGCGTGCCGGGCGGTTGGTGCTGGGGACATTGACCGTCCCAGCGGGGACACCACCTCGTTTCACTGCTGCACTCGCCAGCTCTGGGCACAGGGGGCTGCGGGTACCTGGAGCACAGGACACGTGCCCAGCGCCCACTGTGGGTGCTCTCTGCAGGTCTTCAGCCAGATTCGCAACGAGCACTTCTCCAGTGTGTTCGGGTTCCTGAGCCAGAAGTCCCGTAACCTGCAGGCACAGTACGATGTGAGCATCGCCCGGGTGCGGGCGCCCACGGGGTCCCTCCACACGGGCTCACCGCCAGCATGCTCTGCCTCCCGCAGCGGCGCCGCAGCATGGACATCAAGCAGATGAAGAACTTCGTGTCCCAGGAGCTGAAGGGACTGAAGCAAGAGCATCGCCTGCTGAGCCTGCGTAGGAGCCAGGGCTGGGTGCTGGGGAGAGGTGGGGGTGGGAGGAGCAGAGGGTCTGAGCTGTGGGCAGGGTAATGGAGGCCATTGGTGGGTGCAGGTGTCTGTAGAGGAGGTCAAGCTGCATGCAGAGCCTGTTACTTCAAACAGCCATCTCTGGCTCTGCAGATATTGGTGCCTGTGAGTCCATCATGAAAAAGAAAACCAAACAGGACTTCCAGGAGATGATCAAGGCTGAACACTGTGAGTGCTATTCTCTGTCCCACATCTGTTGCTATCTTCCTGCCCTGGCCGTCACCCTCACTCTCCTCCTCCAGGTCCTTGTTCCCAACTTCTGCTCTGACCCATGGCCCCACTTGTTTCAGGCCTGGGCAGCCTCACACCTGTGTGATCACAGACATGGAATCACAGACTGGTTTGTTTTGGAAGGGACCTTAAAGCTCCTCCAGCTCCAACCCCTGCCACAGGCAGGGACCCCTTCCACTAGAGCAGGTTGCTCCAAGCCCCTGTGTCCAACCTGGCCTTGAACACTGCCAGGGATGGGGCAGCCACAGCTTCTCTGGGCACCCTGTGCCAGCGCCTCAGCACCCTCACAGGGAAGAGCTTCTGCCTCAGAGCTCATCTCCATCTCCCCTCTGGCAGGTTAAAGCCATTCCCCTTGTCCTGTCCCTACAGGCCCTTGTCCAAAGCCCCTCTCCAGGTTTCCTGGAGCCCCTTAGGTACTTCCAGATCATTTTTTTTTGGGTGTATCATGAGATCCTAAATAGGGTTAAAGCTGCATCCTCAGAGGGCTGGTGTGTGGTGGGCTGGGGGCACAGCATCAGAAGCCTGCCCCTTTCCCTGGGGCTCAGGGAGGGAGGCTGAGCTCACACTGCAGCCCTGGGCACGGGTAAGATGATGCTGCCTCTGCCGCAGCTCTCCTGGAGGGCTTCGACATCCGTGAGAGCACCAGCTTCATAGAGGAGCACATTGACCGGCAGGTGAGACGGGCAGGATGGGGAAGGGGCTGGGGGCACAGCATCAGAAGCCTGCCCCTTTCCCTGGGGCTCAGGGAGGGAGGCTGAGCTCACACTGCAGCCCTGGGCACGGGTAAGATGATGCTGCCTCTGCCGCAGCTCTCCTGGAGGGCTTCGACATCCGTGAGAGCACCAGCTTCATAGAGGAGCACATTGACCGGCAGGTGAGACGGGCAGGATGGGGAAGAGGCTGCTCCAGTTGCTCCATCCCGTTGCGGTTTTGACCTGCAAGCCGCCTCCCACCACCCCCTCTGCTCCACGTAGGTGTCCCCCATCGAGAGCCTGCGCCTCATGTGCCTCCTGTCCATCACGGAGAACGGTGAGGCACCCACCTGTGCCAGGCAGGTGCCGCAGCGCCTGGCACAGAGCTCACCCTGCTGCTCCCACAGGTCTCGTCCCCAAAGACTATCGCTCCCTCAAAACCCAGTACCTGCAGGTGAGCATTAGCTGAGGACTCACTGCACAAACGGGCTTGTGTGGGATGGGGCTTCCCCTCCCTGCTGCTGCCCCGGGCACCTCTGCAGGATGGCCCCTGGCTCTGCCTGCCCCTGCCCTTTCCCTGCTGGGCTGCTCTAAACAGCCTGTACCTCCTGGGGAGG